TTTTCTTTGATGTTTATTCATTATAGCAGGGTTTCACAGACCACCATGGAACTTCCCTTCGGCAGGAGCCGAGCCGGAGCAGCTCCGCACTTTCGCCACGGGGAAAGACAATAGACGGCCGCTCCTCCAGTGGCGGCAGCAGTGGCTGAAGAGACGGCGAAGAGGAACCAACATGGTGGTCTCGGCAGAGCCCAGGCGCTTCACAGACACTGCTCCAGCCCCGCGTTGGGTCTCCAACTCCTGACTCGAGGAGTTGGGTTTCCGGTGACTTTGGTTTTTTGATCAGGAGCCTTTTTCTGAGCACCTTCCTTCTTTTTCTTTTCTTCCTGCTTTCCCTTTTTCTTTTCTTCCATCAAATGTTCCTCTTTTTTTTGTTTCTTGTTCTTCCTCCCTGGGCTCCGTCCCTGGCAGCGGCGGCTCCGTGGGGCTCCGGCGGCGGTCTACACCCCAGAGGGGGGAGGCCTTGGTTCACCTTTGTATACACAGTTCCTGTGGCCGGGGCTGCGTTGCCAGCGGTGACCACTGCGGTGTGCTTGGGGCCATGCCCACTCCGGGCTAGGGCCACGCGGCGCTCCCGGCTCCTCAATTCCTGGGCTCGGCACAGCTCGCCTGCCCAACACTGTCTTTTCTTAACTGAATAGACTTGGAACCTTTGTCAAAAATCAATTGACTATTTATGGGTCAATTGGACTCTATTCTGTTTTACTGATCTATTTTTCTATCTGTCTTAGTCCATTTGGGCTGTTATAACAAAATACCATAAACTCTGTGTAGTTTATAAGCAACAGGAATTTATTTCTTACTGTTCTGGAAGCTGGGAAGTCAAGATCATGGTGCTGGCAGATTCAGTGTCTGGCAAGGGCTCGCTTCCTGGTTCGTTCAGAGATGGTGCCTTCTAACTGTGTCCTTACACAGTGCAAGGGATGAGGCAGCTCTCTGGGGCCTCTTGTGTAAAGGCAATAATCCCATTCATGAGGGCTCCAACCTCATGACATAATTACCTACCAAAGACACCATCTCCTAATACCATCACATTGGTGATTAGGTTTTAACATGAATTTGGGGTGGGGGACATAAACATTAGACCGTAATACTATCATTTCTCCAATACCATACTATTTTGATTGCTGTAGCTATATTGTAAAATCAGGTAATGTAAGTCCTATACTTTGTTCTTCTTTACAATAGTTTCAGCTATTCTAGGTCCTCTGAATTTCCATATAAATTTTAAAATTGATTTGTCAATTTTTATACAAAAGAAATGCTGAAATTTTTGTCTGGATCTCTTATTAAATCTATAGATCATTATCAGGAAAACTGGTATCTTAGCAGTACTTTTTTATTTCCTTATATGAACATAATATATCTTTACTTTTATTTAGAGCACCTTTAAATTTTCTCCATCATGATTCATAGTTTTCAGTGTAGAGGTCCCTCATGTCTTTTGTTAAATTTAAGTAAGTTTTTAACTATTTTTATGGAGGTTATTTTTTATGTTACTATAAGTGGAACTTCTTGCACATTATTTTATAATTATTTGTGGCTACAATATAGAGATACAATAGATTTTAAAAATATTGACTTTGTAGTTTGCGACTCTGCTTTTAGTCCAGTAGTTTTGTTTGTTTGTTAATTTGAATTACCTCTCTTCAACATTTAAACTATTGACCATCTCTTTAATTTTGAAATACTCTTCTCCCACACCTTTAAGGACTCCTTGTTAACCTGGTTCCTCTATTTCTGTGCTCATGACTTCTCTGGATACCTTTAATTTTTACTTGTCCCCTGCTCATATTGCTTGAGAATCTTTTTATTGGCTTCCTCTCTCCTCTCTGCCTTTCACTAGTGCCGATAATTCCCCTAACCTCCAGTCTCCAGTTTTCAACTGCCTAAATATGAAATCCCCTCATTTTGTTACTATTTCACTCTCAAAGTTCAACTCTGAGGTCATTACATATCTTATTTAGCTTTGCAAGCAGACACACCCGCATTTAAATCTTGACACTGTTACCTATTAGATAGGTAATTTGACAAGTTATTTACCGCCTCTGATACTTTATTTTTCTATTTCTATGATAAAGATAATAATTCCAACCTCAGGGTTGTGCTGATGATTAAGTTTAATGTACAGGTACATGCTAGTGCTCAGTAGTGTTAATTCCCTTCTGCTGCTTTATGCATAATTTTTCTTAGCTTACTATTCTCTCTTGTTGCTCTATTTTATAAGTTCTATTATTCAGGAATAAATTCAAAATGTCAATTCTTTTAAAAGACTTGTGATATACCTCAGGTACCATAATTGCAATTACAGAATCCAATTTTCTTACTCTTTTTCTCCCTATCCAATAGCATTTCTATCCCCACTTGGTGGTTCTATCTAATATCTTCTTCTATATCATGATACCTATAGTGCAGAATTTGTGGCTGGTCCATCTTTTCATCTTCCACAGCAATTAAGTGGTACTCACATCTATTTGGTACTGGGTTTTATCTCTATATATCTCTATATCTGTATTGGTATCTATCTATACTTATATATATATCTAACTATATCCGTGTGTATGTATATGTCCTTCTTTGTTCTCAAGGTTCCTCTTTGATATGCCCAATGTATATGTATAAAGAATTAAAATAGAATTTAAAAAAAAATCTAGGTCTTGATTACATGGTGTTCTTTTAACATAAGCCATCTGACTTTAAAGAGCCTTAAAATTAAATTGCGGCAAAGACTTTTTTATGGTCAAATGATTCACAGTAGTTGTAAACACTTGATTGAAGTAGGTCTCAGATGAGCTACCATAAACAAATTGACACATGGCTTCTGATAAATTGAGCTTATACAATGGACTTTCTTACTCTCGTGAGTTTCATTCATATACTTTGTTTATTATTTTAGACTAAAGAGCCTTACGTATTTGAGTATAAATTATAACCGGCTAGCCAGCATTCCCATAGAACTTTGTTTCCTTGAAGATCTTTCTGAACTTCAGCTTAACTACAATCAGCTCATTTGCATACCTGAAGAGATTAAGTTCTTGAAGAAGCTCAAGACACTTTTTCTGGTCAGGAACAACATTGAAGTTTTGCCAGAGGTAAGCAAAACATGAAAGCGCATTTTTGTTGTTGTTGTTGGTGGTGAAGAACTCATTTCAACATCATGGGAGGTGGTTATGGATAAGATTTGGGTATCAGAGTACAAGCCATTATTTACTTACCCTCAGATTAGATGTAGTCAGTTCCCAAATCCTTACTACAGAAGACGGTTCAAATTTGGATTATTACACATAGCTAGGGCTGCCAGATCTAGTAAACAAAAATACAGGGTGCTCACTTAAATTTGAATTTCAGAAAATAACAAATTTTTTTTAGTGTAATGACACATGCAATATTTGGGGTTTACTTGTACTAAAAAAATTAGTTGTTGTTTGAGATTTAAATTTAAGTGAACATATATATTTTATCTCAACCCTATATACAGCACAAAGTGAAAGTTCATTTTGGCTTTAGAATATGTGCTGAATTTCTTACGATTTTCCTCTGTATCTGCTCTCTATCCTTCTCCAGCCTACTCTGTCTGAGAGACTGACCTGTATGGGCATCCAGCTCTTTTGTCTTCTGGCTTTCTCTTGGATATGGCCAATGAGAGGCACTCACAGGAAGTGAAAGGGCAGGAGAGTGAGTAACAGATGGTATTCCTATGGTACCTTTTCTGGCAGGTTGCTGTGGATTGACTGCATGCCTTTCTGGAAGGCCACAGCTAATGTCGTGTGATCCTCTTATAGACCATCACTGTTTCCCTTTGGCTCTTTAGGCCTAGGTGGTAAAGAATTCCCTGCTGATGCTGGCTTTGGAGAACTTTGTGGGTTTAGGCAACCATTTTTCTTGGTTTGTGGAACCTTGGTTTCCCTAAATCCGACCAAACTTTTATAAATAGTGTCTTTATTAAACTCTCCTCAAATTTCCCCTTTTGAGAATACTATCTTACTAGGAACCTGCCAATGTATTTTCCTTCCTTCCTTATGCAAATTGGAATTAATTTGATGGGAATGCATGTTGTACAGTAAATTAATGAATAAAAAATCAGCAAGTCAATAGAGTAGATATATCCAGAAAATCCCTAACAGTTTCATTTTTCTCTCAAGAAATAATATTATCTTTAAAAATTCTGTATATATTGTAATGTGATCTGTAAAAATCTGCCAAGGTAATAGGCTATAAATAAGAATATTTCTTAGAATGCCCTTAAAAATTGTAATTTTTATAAATAAGAAAATATCTTGAAATTACAGAATAAATATATTAAAAGTATAACTCATTTGGGGGAAAAGCAGTAACAGCAGCAGCAGCAGCAGCAGCAGCAGCAGCAGCAGCAGCAGCAGCAGCAGCAGCAGCAGCAGCAGCAGCAGCAGCAGCAGCAGCAGCAGCAGCAGCAGCAGCAGCAGCAGCAGCAGCAGCAGCAGCAGCAGCAGCAGCAGCAGCAGCAGCAGCAGCAGCAGCAGCAGCAGCAGCAGCAGCAGCAGCAGCAGCAGCAGCAGCAGCAGCAGCAGCAGCAGCAGCAGCAGCAGCAGCAGCAGCAGCAGCAGCAGCAGCAGCAGCAGCAGCAGCAGCAGCAGCAGCAGCAGCAGCAGCAGCAGCAGCAGCAGCAGCAGCAGCAGCAGCAGCAGCAGCAGCAGCAGCAGCAGCAGCAGCAGCAGCAGCAGCAGCAGCAGCAGCAGCAGCAGCAGCAGCAGCAGCAGCAGCAGCAGCAGCAGCAGCAGCAGCAGCAGCAGCAGCAGCAGCAGCAGCAGCAGCAGCAGCAGCAGCAGCAGCAGCAGCAGCAGCAGCAGCAGCAGCAGCAGCAGCAGCAGCAGCAGCAGCAGCAGCAGCAGCAGCAGCAGCAGCAGCAGCAGCAGCAGCAGCAGCAGCAGCAGCAGCAGCAGCAGCAGCAGCAGCAGCAGCAGCAGCAGCAGCAGCAGCAGCAGCAGCAGCAGCAGCAGCAGCAGCAGCAGCAGCAGCAGCAGCAGCAGCAGCAGCAGCAGCAGCAGCAGCAGCAGCAGCAGCAGCAGCAGCAGCAGCAGCAGCAGCAGCAGCAGCAGCAGCAGCAGCAGCAGCAGCAGCAGCAGCAGCAGCAGCAGCAGCAGCAGCAGCAGCAGCAGCAGCAGCAGCAGCAGCAGCAGCAGCAGCAGCAGCAGCAGCAGCAGCAGCAGCAGCAGCAGCAGCAGCAGCAGCAGCAGCAGCAGCAGCAGCAGCAGCAGCAGCAGCAGCAGCAGCAGCAGCAGCAGCAGCAGCAGCAGCAGCAGCAGCAGCAGCAGCAGCAGCAGCAGCAGCAGCAGCAGCAGCAGCAGCAGCAGCAGCAGCAGCAGCAGCAGCAGCAGCAGCAGCAGCAGCAGCAGCAGCAGCAGCAGCAGCAGCAGCAGCAGCAGCAGCAGCAGCAGCAGCAGCAGCAGCAGCAGCAGCAGCAGCAGCAGCAGCAGCAGCAGCAGCAGCAGCAGCAGCAGCAGCAGCAGCAGCAGCAGCAGCAGCAGCAGCAGCAGCAGCAGCAGCAGCAGCAGCAGCAGCAGCAGCAGCAGCAGCAGCAGCAGCAGCAGCAGCAGCAGCAGCAGCAGCAGCAGCAGCAGCAGCAGCAGCAGCAGCAGCAGCAGCAGCAGCAGCAGCAGCAGCAGCAGCAGCAGCAGCAGCAGCAGCAGCAGCAGCAGCAGCAGCAGCAGCAGCAGCAGCAGCAGCAGCAGCAGCAGCAGCAGCAGCAGCAGCAGCAGCAGCAGCAGCAGCAGCAGCAGCAGCAGCAGCAGCAGCAGCAGCAGCAGCAGCAGCAGCAGCAGCAGCAGCAGCAGCAGCAGCAGCAGCAGCAGCAGCAGCAGCAGCAGCAGCAGCAGCAGCAGCAGCAGCAGCAGCAGCAGCAGCAGCAGCAGCAGCAGCAGCAGCAGCAGCAGCAGCAGCAGCAGCAGCAGCAGCAGCAGCAGCAGCAGCAGCAGCAGCAGCAGCAGCAGCAGCAGCAGCAGCAGCAGCAGCAGCAGCAGCAGCAGCAGCAGCAGCAGCAGCAGCAGCAGCAGCAGCAGCAGCAGCAGCAGCAGCAGCAGCAGCAGCAGCAGCAGCAGCAGCAGCAGCAGCAGCAGCAGCAGCAGCAGCAGCAGCAGCAGCAGCAGCAGCAGCAGCAGCAGCAGCAGCAGCAGCAGCAGCAGCAGCAGCAGCAGCAGCAGCAGCAGCAGCAGCAGCAGCAGCAGCAGCAGCAGCAGCAGCAGCAGCAGCAGCAGCAGCAGCAGCAGCAGCAGCAGCAGCAGCAGCAGCAGCAGCAGCAGCAGCAGCAGCAGCAGCAGCAGCAGCAGCAGCAGCAGCAGCAGCAGCAGCAGCAGCAGCAGCAGCAGCAGCAGCAGCAGCAGCAGCAGCAGCAGCAGCAGCAGCAGCAGCAGCAGCAGCAGCAGCAGCAGCAGCAGCAGCAGCAGCAGCAGCAGCAGCAGCAGCAGCAGCAGCAGCAGCAGCAGCAGCAGCAGCAGCAGCAGCAGCAGCAGCAGCAGCAGCAGCAGCAGCAGCAGCAGCAGCAGCAGCAGCAGCAGCAGCAGCAGCAGCAGCAGCAGCAGCAGCAGCAGCAGCAGCAGCAGCAGCAGCAGCAGCAGCAGCAGCAGCAGCAGCAGCAGCAGCAGCAGCAGCAGCAGCAGCAGCAGCAGCAGCAGCAGCAGCAGCAGCAGCAGCAGCAGCAGCAGCAGCAGCAGCAGCAGCAGCAGCAGCAGCAGCAGCAGCAGCAGCAGCAGCAGCAGCAGCAGCAGCAGCGTTGTTCAGTTTCTATGCACTTGAATAGTTTCCAGAATTTTCCCTGTTATTGTTTTCCAGTTTTAATCCATTGTGGTCTGAAAAGATACTTGGGATGATTTCATTTTTTAAAAATTTGCTAAGACTTACTTTTTGACCTAGTATGTGGTCTATCCTGGAGAATGTTCCATGTGCTGATGAGAAGTATGTATATTGTCTAGTTGTTGGACGAAATGTTCTGTGGATGTCTGCCAAGTCTAATTGGTCTAAGGTGTATTTTAAATCCTGTGTTTCTTTGTTGATTTGTTGCCTGAAAGATCTGTCTAATTGTGAGAAATGGCTGTTGAGGTCACCCACTATTATTGTATTTGGGTCTGTCTCTTTTTTTAGGTCTAAGAGTGCTTGCTTTACATATCTTGGTGCTCTACTGTTGCGTGCATACATATTTAAGATTGTTATGTCCTCTAACTGGATAGATCCATTTATCATTATATAATGGCCTTCTTTATCTCTTTTTATCATTTTTGGTTTGAAGTCTGTTTAATCCAATATAAGAATAGCTACCCATGCTTGTTTTTGGTTTCTATTTGCATGGTACATCTTTTGACAACTCTTCATTTTTACTTTGTGTCTGTCTTTATAGGTGAGTTGGGGCTCTTGAAGACAGCATATAGTTTAGTCTCACTTTTTAATCAAATCAGTCAATCTGTGTCTTCTGAATGAGGAGTTTAATCCATTTATATTTAGGGTTGTTATTGATAATTATTGTTTTACTCATATCATTATATTGCTTTTTGTTCAGATGTTTTAAACATCATTTGTCCCTTTCTTCCCCTTATTATTTTTCATCTTTAATGTTAGTCGGATTTTTGTGGTGACCTGATTTAGCTTCTTTCTTTTTCGCATTTGCATTTTTGTTTTAATGGTAGGTTTTGCTCCTTCTTGTGAATCTGTGATATTGATTATCATTTCTCAGATTCTGGATACAAGACTCCTTTGAGAATTTCTGGCATGACTGGTCGTGTGGTAGTGAACTCCCATAATTTTTGTTTGTTAGGGAAATACACTATTTCTCCCTTGTTTCTGAAGGATAACCATGCTGTATATAGGATTCTTGGCTGGAAATTTTTTTCTTTTAGTTTTTTGAATATATCATCCATTTTCTTCTGGCCTGTAAAGTTTGAGTTGAGAAGTCTGCTGTTAGTCTGATGGAGGCTTTGAAGGATAACCATGCTGTATATAGGATTCTTGGCTGGAAATTTTTTTCTTTTAGTTTTTTGAATATATCATCCCATTTTCTTCTGGCCTGTAAAGTTTGAGTTGAGAAGTCTGCTGTTAGTCTGATGGAGGCTTTCTCATAGGTGACTTGGTGCTTTTCTCTTGCTGCATTTAGAATTCTCTCTTTTTCTTTGAGTTTTGCTAGTTTGACTATCATGTGTCTTGAAGAGGATCTTTTTGGATTGAATCTATTTGGGGATCTTTAGGCTTCCTGGATCTGAAGGTCTGTTTCCCTCCCTATACTTGGGAAGTTTTCTGTTATTATGTCCTTGAATAGTTTTCAATGCCTTTTCCTTTTCCTCCCCTTCTGGAATACCCATGATTTGGATATTTGTGCACTTGAGGTTGTATTCTAGCTGTCTTAAATTTTCTTATTTTTTAAAATTCCTTTTTTCTTTTTCTTGTTTGCCTGGGTTATTTCAAAATGACCATCTTTGAGTTCTAAAATTCTTTTTTCTGCTTGCTCTAGCCTGCTGCTCAAGCTTTCTGTTCAGTTTTATATTTCATTGAGAGAATCTTTCATTTCCAGGAGTTCTGTTACATTCTTTATTAAGTTATTAATCTCTTTGTAAATTTTCTCCTTCATATTGAGGATATTTTTTTCTTGTTTCATTGTGTACTCTAGTTGATTTTTTTCTTATTTCTTGGAGAGTGCTCAGAATTCTCTTTCAGACTTCTCTAGGATTTCTTGCTCTATGGGGTATGGTACTTGAGAATTACCATATTCCTTTGGTGTCATATGTTCTTGTTTATTTGTAGTTCTAGTATTTTTTCACTGATGTTTGGTCATCTGGTAGAACACTTAATTATTCTATTACTCTGGAGTGGGTAATGAGGGGGAAGTTTTCCTTCTCTGTTTGTGGGTTCTTCTGGTGACTCTTCTTTTATCAATGCAGTCGAATGTGCAGTGGGCTGCCTTGGCTCCTTTTTTGGTCAGTGAGCAGGTCCTGCACATGCTCACCTGGACTGCCTGTGTGGTGGTTCAGTGGGACATGTGAGCCCCTCCAGTGCTTGCTCTCTATTTTAATAATAGGTAATGAATACTGAGTGTTCACTGCATAATTACACCCTTTAATACTTTAAGATTAGTAACTTATTTAATCCATTTAAAAATCATATGAAATTGGGGCTTTTATTAGCATTTCCATTTTACAAATGGAGAAATCAAAATACAAGGAAATTAAGAAATTTTCCCATCATTAGTTAGTATCTGTCAGAGGTGAGATTTGAATCCAGAAGTAGTCTAACTTGGAGCTAACATGTTATGTTACCCTGGAGTGAACAGAGGAAATGGAGAACTCAAAGATATCTGGCAATCCAGAACATAGGGATCTGTTTGGGGAAGATGTGCTGAAGAATTGATCAGGTATTTAGAAATTTAAACTTAAACTCCATCAAATTTAAACTTAAACACTTATGATTCTAGATATTAGGTTTTAAAAAATCTCTCTCTTTTGTTTTCTGACACAGGGACTTTGTAATCTTAAAAAACTGAGAATGCTAGACATAGCTGGCAATATTATTCAGATATTTCCACCAAGAGTAAGTAGAGTCAACTTCTATTATAATTGAAAAATAATTTTGTTTATGCTCTTGGGAATAGAAAAATATGGGCAGCCAGTAAAACCTATAATTGGAACCTTGAATTATACAAATGACTCAAAGATTTGCTTTGCTCTAGAATTTCAAAACTGTTTTCTCCCATTTCTTTTTTTGTGTCTGTGCCTGCTGAACTTGTTTGAATTAAGTGAACTCCAATTGCTATCCTAAATATTTTAATATGTCAGTTATGATAAAATTTTTTGGTTATTAAACATTGCTTTTGGTTACCTTAGAGTTTTTGGAAATATTACTTTCCAGAGCATAAATTTTTATCCATTGTAATCAATCCAAAGATGGTACTTTTATTAGTTGTTTTTAAGCCATACACAATGAAAAATGCATTTTTTTCATTTGCAAATGAATTTTGACCTTGTTTTATGTCAGATTCATGGAGAAACAGTTCATCTTGGCAACTTCTAACTTTTGGTAAATAATCGGGAGTTTTTCATATTGCATTTTTATATTCTAGTGAACGTGTTTGAACATTCAAGGTAATAATTAGAAGCCTATCAGTCCAGAAGATACTCAATAAATAGTTGTTGATCCATTAATTGTTTTTTCTGATTGATCCACTTTAAATTGAGATTTCAGTCCTTTTCATACACTGGAGCAGTATTTTGTAATGAGGGTGTTTCAAATATGAAAAAATGAGTGTAAAGCTATGTTTTAGAAAAAAATACTGTTTTTTTATTGTGGTAAAATATATGTAACATAAAATTTACCATTTAAACAATTTTTAAGTATGAAGTCTGTGACACTAAGTACTTTTACATTGTTGTGCAACCCACCACCATCAATCTTCAGAACTTTTTCATCTTCCCCAACTGAAACTCTATCCATTAAACACTAACTCCCCATTCTATTCGTAGCACCTATTTTAGAAGTTTCTATAAATATTCTGAAATAAGATATTTTTACCCAACACTGAAACCATTATTCTCCTTTCTGTCTCTATGAATTTGGTGACTACTCTAGGTACTTCATGTAAGAGGAATCATACAATATTTGTCCTTTCATGACTGACTTATTTCACTTTGTATAATGTCTTTAAAGTTCATCCATGTTGGAGCATATGTCAGAATTTCCCTCCTTTTTAAGACTGAGTAGTATTCACTTGTATGTATCTATCACATTTTTCTATCCATTTATCTGTGGATGGATGCTTGAGTTTTTTCCATCTTTTGGCTATTGTGAATAATGCTGCTATGAACATGCATATACATCTTATTTGTTCTAGTCTCTCTACTTTCAATTATTTTGGTTATATACCTAGAAGTGGAATTGCTGAGTTATATGATAATTCTATGTTTAATTTTTTTTTTTTTTTTTTTTTACTGACTGGTAACAGGATCGCAACCCTTGGTGTCACGCCCGTACCGGGGACCGGCAACGGGATCGTAACCCTCGGTGTTGCGCCTGCACCACGCTCAGCCAGTGAGCGGGAACCAGTCTCCACATGGGATCCGAACCCTCGGCGGGAGCGCTGTCGCGCTCCCAAGCGGCGCACTCTCCAGTGTGCCACTGGGCCGGCCCTATGTTTAATTTTTTAAGGAATCACCACACTATTTCTAAAAATATACAGTTTTGAATGTTTAGTAAAATATGTCTAATTTTTTAAGGAATCACCACACTATTTCTAAAAATATACAGTTTTGAATGTTTAGTAAAAATTGGATGTTGTTAATATTGCTCTGGTAAATGCCACTTGATTTTGTTTATCCCATGGGTCTTAATTCAATTCTCTATGCCCTGTCATGCCTCCCTGACTTCCAAAGTAGCCATATGGTGCCACTTCTTCAATATTAACATTGTAGCTTGGACACATAATGGAGTAATTCTTTTAAAGTCTGTTGTGCTATTAGACTGTAAGCTTTCAAAGAGAATGAATACTGTTTCTCACCCTCTATACCTGATGTGTCTTGAATTTCAACTTGATAAATACTTGCTACATGAATAAATCTAAATAGTGTTCTTAAACTGCATTCAGTATTTACCTTAGCAGTGCTGTTAATTCACTGATTCTTCTACAAAGTGATTCTGGACTTATAAATTTGATAAAACGTTACTACTTAGGTCCCAATAATTTAGAGTTAATTTTGACAGGGTCTGGGTCAGTTTCACATTTGTAGCACCTATTTCAAAAATTTCTGGAAGTACTTAAAATAAGCTTATCTGTGAACTCATCTGAGCTTTGGTCCACCTGGTTCAAAATCAAAGTTTTCCACATTTGATAGATGGGGCAACTGATGGGACAAATGACAAATATAGAGGATAAATGACTGACTCTAGGTCATACTTTGATTATTAGTGAAAGGGAGTAAGTTTCAAAGTAATGGTAGTGATCTTTAAAAACAATTAGGCCATGCTTTTTAGGAAGCAGAATAATATAGAAATAAAGAGCATGGACTATGGAGTCTTACACATGTGTTTAAAGTTCTAATTTCCCATTTACTGAATTTGTTATCTCAAACAAGTTGCTTAACTTCTCAAAACTGCTGTTTCCACATCTATAAAATGGATGCATTAAAACCACTAACCCCATAAGGTTGTTCAGTCAAATAAAACATTTTGTACATAGTTGGTGTTCAAGGAATAGAAACTATATGATTATATATTCTATATAAAATGTATACCAATAGTGAAACACTAAGTAATGTATAATTATTGCATTCATACCTGTCTACTGGAGATAATAAGAAACCATGTAAAGCACGTGTTTTTAAAACTTTTTTTCTACTATGAAAATGTTCAAACAAACAGAAAAACAGAGAGAATAGCAAAATGAAATTCCAGGTACCCATTACCTTGAAGCATACTCTTAACTCAAAGATTTCAAACCGTATTCTATAGTAGAGTCTTTAAATGGTTTATTTTACTGCCTTATAACTACTCTGTTTTTTAAAAAATAGGTCTTTATTTAAGATTGTTTTGCTATTTTATGACCTAAAGATTGCTGTACTATTTGGAAAATGCAATTATTTCACTGTAGTATATCTTTTATTTACATAACTGTTGAATATTTGAAACTAAATTTTTATCAGGACTTTTGTAGTATGTACATTAAATGGAAATCCACACTAAGAAAATGGGACTATTATAAATATTTGTTAATATGTGTTGAATCAGGGCTGGCCCGGTGGCGCACTGCTACAGTGCGCCACTTGGGAGCGCGGCGGCGCTCCCGCCGAGGGTTCGGATCCCACATACAGACCGGCCGCTCACTGGCTGAGCAAGGT